GCCTCTTCTTACTCCATCCCACCCTGAGTCATATGTAAGTTATTAAGAACTGCCAGTAATAATTACTCTAGAGGAAATGGGGGTAAATAACACTTAACAGAACCTTCATCAAGTGTACTTCTTAACTATATATACACACACATATATACACACACATATGTACATGGTATAACATTGATCCTCGTGGCGCATTGGTAAGACACTCTCTCGGCGCTTCGCGAGCACTTTGGCCTAGGTTCGTATCCTGGACAAGGAGGATTGACTGGGTGCCAATCCTTAACTGTAGCCACTATTCACCCAGCAGTGAATGGGTACCTGGCTGTTAAACGATTTAGCGGGCCGTATTTAAGGGTAATTAAGATTAAGGACCTGCCCGAAACGCTATGCGTGCTGCTGGCTGTACGAGAGTGTAAGAACTTTTGTATATATAAATAAATAAAAAAACTTCACTTTAAAATCCAGATACAAACACTCCTCAGGAACTTATTATTATTATTATTATTATTATTATTATTATTTTCTACCACAAACGTGGCCACACATTTACAATGCTAACCATAATATATATTAATTTTCTTCTGTCCTCCATGGACTGGAAGTGACTTTTCACAAGCCGCCGGTTTCCTGTTCCCATCGAACCCACTATAGGGATCCTTCGCAGTTATATAAAAATTTTGTCAAAACAAACTTATAAACATAAATAGGCTCCTGGCCCAAACCCCGAAGATAACAATATGATAGAATGACACCAATAATGCATAAGGAATATTATGCAAAACAAAACAAACAGTAACTCCAAGCGAGTAGCGCGTGTAAGAGAAAACGTGACACAGAAAATGTAAAAGCAGGGTAGACTTTATGAAATGACTGGTTACTAGGACGTGAAACTAAAGTGCAACGACATTATATGGGAAGGAATTTGAGAAAAAAGAAGCTTCAATATGAAAACAGAATAAAAACTAGGATATTAGGACAGCACAAGAGTTGGGATATTAAAATAAAGAGAGCGGGGACATTAGGACAGAATAATAGTTCTATCTTACATATTGTATCTGTACATGGGGTTCAACTTCTGCAAACTACCTCAAGCCCATCATCACCAAGTAAAAAATCTGCTATCAGAATGATAACAAACTTTGCTTTCAGACAACTCACAGCTCCCCTGTTTAAATCCCTAAACATGCTAAACATAAATTCACTCCACACATTCTTTTGTGTCAATTACATTTACAAAAACCCTTTTTCTTAAGTGCAAACCCTGTTCTGAAACTCTTCCTGGACAGATGTAATAGAACACATACTCATCACATCAGACATAAATATCTCTTTGATATCCCCAGAGTCAAACTTAATCTGTGTAAACACTCCATGTAAATAAAGGGAACTAGTTTATGGAACTCACTACCTAATGAATTGAAAAGCTGTCCAACTTTTGCCTTATTCAAAAATAAAACCAAAAAGTACCTAATTTCTTCTTCATAGTTTCCTACCTGGTGCTTTAACTCGCACTGTATCTAGTACTACCCAATTCCCCAATATGAATTGGGTATGTCAATAGGTATGACCTATGCCATACAACTTACCACTGTTGTTGTTTAAGATTCAGCTACTGGGAACAAAAAGTTCCAAGTAGCACGGGCTATGGTGAGCCCGTAGTGGACTTACCAGGCACAGGAGCGGGGCTGTAACTGTGTGTGTTACCATTGTAATCATTGCTGCTATTATACACATGGTTTGATACATTATATCTTGCAATAAACTCAAATTGTGCTAAAATGTACCTGTGGATTACATTGTACCCTTAAATTTACTTTAATGTACCTACTTTTTTTCTGACAAATTTCTTATAATGTTTTTTTGTACTTTCTTGCAATGCGTTTTTGTACCGTCTTGCGATGTGTTTCTGTACTTCTTACAATGTACTTTAATGTACCTGTATTTTTTTTTTTTTTTTGCTATAAATTATCTTCTTAAGATTATATGTTAGATTAAGGATTTGCCCGAAACGCTATGTGTGCTAGTGGCTTTACAGGAATGTCAAACTTGAAGTCTCTGTACTCTCATGAACCTAATGTACCTTCTTGTATATAAATAAATAAATAGCTGGAAATATGAGGACAATAAGAGCTGGGATATTGGGGCTGAATAAGAGTTGGTTTACGACTCATACGAGGACAATAAGCGTCCTCATATCCCGGCATTACAGTCGGATTTGTTCTAGACTCACAATAAAAAAATCCGGCTTCGAATCCGGGGCGGGACAGAAATGGATAGGCGAATTTCCTATCACCTAATGAATCTGTTCACCTAGAAGTGAGTAGGTGCTGAGGAGTTAGTCAGCTTCTTGTGGGGTAGCATCCTGGGCGGGGACAGTAATTTGGCCTAGAATGAGGAGGGGAAGACCTCGATATAAGACTAACGTGTATAAATACATTCTAGCTACCTGTCCCCCGACACAATGAATTATTAACGTTATAAGCGCTAGGATATTTGGACATTTAGAAAGTGTAGGCCTAATAGGCAGTTATCCAAGCAGTTTACTAAGCGGGTGCTTCACCACTGATTGGTTTAGGTGTATCGGTGTGGACTTACCAACTTGTGGAGGGTGAATTAAGGCCAATATAAAAAACTTATTGACTAGCAGTACACTTTAGTGTTATAGTTCAGAACTAAGGTAAAGCCAGAGTCGTATAGGCCAATATATATATATACTGAGAAGAGTGTGTGGCTTGTGTAGAGACGTGAGGGGTGTATACACGTGAGGGTGTAGAGGGATGTGAGAGTGTAGAGGGACGTGAGGGGTGTAGAGGAACGTGAGGGTGTAGAGGAACCTGAAGCCTGTGTAGAGAGACGTGAGGGTGTAGAGGAACCTGAAGCCTGTGTAGAGGAACGTGAGGGTGTAGAGGAACCTGAAGCCTGTGTAGAGGGACCTGAAGCCTGTGTAGAGGGACGTGAGGGTGTAGAGGAACCTGAAGCCTGTGTAGAGAGACGTGAGGGTGTAGAGGAACCTGAAGCCTGTGTAGAGGGACCTGAAGCCTGTGTAGAGGGACGTGAGGGTGTAGAGGAACCTGAAGCCTGTGTAGAGGGACGTGAGGGTGTAGAGGGACCTGAAGCCTGTGTAGACGAACGTGAGGGTGTAGAGGAACCTGAAGCCTGTGTAGAGGGACCTGAAGCCTGTGTAGAGGGACCTGAAGCCTGTGTAAAGGAACGTGAAGGTGTAGAGGAACCTGAAGCCTGTGTAGAGGAACGTGAAGGTGTAGAGGAACCTGAAGCCTGTGTAGAGGAACGTGAAGGTGTAGAGGAACCTGAAGCCTGTGTAGCGGAACGTGAGGGTGTAGAGGGACCTGAAGCCTGTGTAGAGGGACGTGAGGGTGTAGAGGAACGTGAGGGTGTAGAGGAACGTGAGGGTGTAGAGGAACCTGAAGCCTGTGTAGAGGGACGTGAGGGTGTAGAGGGACCTGAAGCCTGTGTAGAGGAACGTGAGGGTGTAGAGGGACCTGAAGCCTGTGTAGAGGGACGTGAGGGTGTAGAGGTACGTGAGGGTGTAGAGGAACGTGAGGGTGTAGAGGGACCTGAAGCCTGTGTAGAGGGACCTGAAGCCTGTGTAGAGGAACGTGAGGGTGTAGAGGAACGTGAGGGTGTAGAGGAACCTGAAGCCTGTGTAGAGGGACGTGAGGGTGTAGAGGGACCTGAAGCCTGTGTAGAGGAACGTGAGGGTGTAGAGGGACCTGAAGCCTGTGTAGAGGAACGTGAGGGTGTAGAGGAACGTGAGGGTGTAGAGGTACGTGAGGATGTAGAGGAACGTGAGGGTGTAGAGGGACCTGAAGCCTGTGTAGAGGAACGTGAGGGTGTAGAGGAACGTGAGGGTGTAGAGGAACCTGAAGCCTGTGTAGAGGAACGTGAGGGTGTAGAGGGACCTGAAGCCTGTGTAGAGGAACGTGAGGGTGTAGAGGGACCTGAAGCCTGTGTAGAGGAACGTGAAGGTGTAGAGGGACCTGAAGCCTGTGTAGAGGAAGGTGAGGATGTAGAGGGACCTGAAACCTGTGTAGAGGAACGTGAGGGTGTAGAGGGACCTGAAGCCTGTGTAGAGGAACGTGAGGGTGTAGAGGAACGTGAGGGGGTGTAGAGGAACGTGAGGGTGTAGAGGGACCTGAAGCCTGTGTAGAGGAACGTGAAGGTGTAGAGGGACCTGAAGCCTGTGTAGAGGAACGTGAGGGTGTAGAGGAACGTGAGGGGGTGTAGAGGAACGTGAGGGTGTAGAGGGACCTGAAGTCTGTGTAGAGGAACGTGAGGGTGTAGAGGGACCTGAAACCTGTGTAGAGGAACGTGAGGGTGTAGAGGGACCTGAAGTCTGTGTAGAGGAACGTGAGGATGTAGAGGGACTTGAAGCCTGTGTAGAGGAACGTGAGGATGTAGAGGGACCTGAAGCCTGTGTAGAGGAACGTGAGGGTATAGAGGGACCTGAAGTCTGTGTAGAGGAACGTGAGGATGTAGAGGTACCTGAAGCCTGTGTAGAGGAACGTGAGGGTGTAGAGGGACCTGAAGCCTGTGTAGAGGAACGTGAGGATGTAGAGGGACCTGAAGCCTGTGTAGAGGAACGTGAGGATGTAGAGGGACCTGAAGCCTGTGTAGAGGAACGTGAGGGTATAGAGGGACCTGAAGCCTGTGAAGAGGAAGGTGAGGATGTAGAGGGACCTGAAGCCTGTGTAGAGGAACGTGAGGATGTAGAGGGACCTGAAGCCTGTGTAGAGGAACGTGAGGATGTAGAGGGACCTGAAGCCTGTGTAGAGGAACGAAGTGCTTGACAATCATAAAGACAAGCTCACACCGTCACCAGACAATCAAAAATTATATTTTTGCTTTATATATTTTATGTTTCACATATAAACTTAAAGTTATGTTTGAATTAGATATAACCAGATTAATAAACAACTGATCACAACAGTACCCATAAACCCATAGACATTAGTGGACAAATTTCTTGGTATAATAGACGAAGGTAATTGTTTCATATTTATTTTACAATTTGATAAAAAATATCAAATGATTTCTTTTCCCTTCTCTTGAAGATCAATTGCAAGAGTTGGGACATTCTGAGTGTCTTGTTTAACACAATAATTTATAAGGCACTTGGGTGTTACACACTTACACTCAGAACACTAACTTACAATAGATTAAAAACATTGTTATAAATTTCTTACAAAAATAGATCACTTGATATATGCAGAATTGGAAGCAGAGTGAATGAGGGAATGGAGGAAGATCTATTGCATGTTGACTTTAAACAGTCAACACGTGTTTAATGTTGTGCTCAAACGTATGTGATTTATTTTCGTAAAAATGGAATGATTTAGTATCACATTTAGGCCTAACGTGGTACTAGGACAACTCGTCAACAATCAGCAACATACGATGGTGATGCTTGATGGTGTCCACCAGCGGCAGCTCAGGCATGGACAGCAGTAAACAGTTTTGGTCAGAATTGTTTCCTATGACATAACCACTGACCAGCCCTGAGTACTCCTTGTACCTGAGGGCGACATCCCGGCCTTGCACCTCCCGCGCCCCGCAGTCCTCGTAGTATTCATTACGGAGGCCTCGCAGAGCTGCTACTTCGTCTGCCATGCGCTGAACACCGAACTCAAAAACTGCCTGACGGTGCCGCGCCAGAAAATGGTTGTAAAGTAACACATCAGCACTGTTGAGTTCCCGGAGCACTTGCTGTGTTTCAGGGCTCAGTGTTGGCTTCACTTCCTGGCGACGGGCATTTTTGGCAAAAACAACTGTGTCGTGGGGACTCCAGCACATGAGGTGCTGCAGGAATACAAGGGATTCGTCCAAATATTCAGCAATCATCACCAAATCAAAAAGTTTATCCAAATCTTCAATGGCACGTCTTAATTCAGTCACGGACAAATTTTCTGGAAAGCCGAAATCAAAAAGCATCTGGTTCCTGCCAAACTTGTCTCCGTATCTGGGGAATGAGGCCAGCTCCTGCGAATATATAAGTCAACAGTTAATGTCATCCAATGGCAGGTAGTATGAAGCATATGGAGAGAAGTAACCATCCATTGCTCTACTCACACAGAAATTAATATTTTGGTTTCCTTGTGACTTTTATGAGTTCAAGAAAAAGCCTCAGTGGTGAGCCCGAATATTCAAGCCTTTTTGGCAAAATTTCTTTGGTGAATTGTTATTTGTTTAAATTCAGTATATATATATATTTTTTACCAATAGGCTGATATATTATTTAATTAATTAACACTTCTTCTGGCAGTGAAAAGAAAGAGACAAGGAAAGCTTAATATACATTAAGCAGCAGAATATGTAATGTATAAAACGCCGTTTGAATGATGCAGTTTTTCAGTCAGTTTTCCTGGCCGCAAAGTCAGGTTTCCCGCAGCACGCACACACAAATGGGAGACATTAATATCCTGTTAAAGTTTATAAGATAAGGAAGAAAGACGTGGAACATAGGGTGAGGAAGTTCTTCAAGTACCATGGAAGTTGGAGGTTTGTGTTGCGACTGGCGAGGTGTGACCGGCCAGGTGTGACCGGCCAGGTGTGACCGGCCAGGTGTGACCGGCCAGGTGTGACCGGCCAGGTGTGACCGGCCAGGTGTGACCGGCCAGGTGTGACCGGCCAGGTGTGCTCGTGTTAATATCATGCTCAAAGTATCTCCACCAACTTCAAACTTGCAGAAATGCTTGTTCGCGGTTATAGGTGGTCTGGGGTTACTTTGAGCTTCTGTGAGGGCGCCTCACAGCTGAGTGGACAACCCGTTCTCGCACTTTCTTACAGTCAATATTGACTTATTTAATACGTGCATATGTGACATACTAAACATACTAGTTTACCTTGAAAAGCTTCATAGAAAACACCGACCTTACCTAACCTTCTTAGTATGTTAAGATAAGCATCTTATTGCTTCGTATTACAATTATTACTTAACCTATACCTATAATAGGTTAAGTAATAATTGTAATTACAAAGCAATAAGATGCTTATCTAAACATACTAAGAAGGTTAGGTAAGGTCGGTGTTTTCTATGAAGCTATTTAAGGTAAACTAGTATGTTTAGTATGTCACATATGCACGTATTTAATAAGTCAATACTGACTATACGAAAGTGCGAGAACGGGTTGGAGTGGGACAGCGCTTTGGATTCGTAGTCCTGAGGTTCCGGGTTCGATTCCCGGTGGAGACGGAGACAAATGGGCAAAATGTTTCATTCACCCTGATACCCCTGTTACCTAGCAGTAAATAGGTATCTGGGAGTTAGACAGTTGCTACGGGCTGCTTCCTGGGGGGGTGTGCAACAAAAATTAAGCCTGGTCGAGGACCGGGCCGCGGGGACGCTAATCCCGGAAATTATCTCGAGATAACCTCAAGATATAAAGTCTACGAGAACCTCCTCAGGAAGCTCACTTAAAATTCCAGGTGTTATGATATGAGAATTATGAGTATGGCTTTATGGCGAAGGAATTCTTCTGGTTGTGTGTGGTAGCACTTGACTCTTATGGTGTTGAGTAGTCACTTATTGTATTGGTAATTAGTATATGGTCTTTTCTATCAAGGAGAGGCATCTGGAGAGGTGGCAGAGTCTTTTGGTGATTGGTCTTGAGAGATGAAGTTAGGCAGTTCCTATTATATCACTTGTCGAATCGTCTGCCATAAATTATAGTGCTATTTGAACCCTTTTAATTTTTAATTTATTTGGCTTATTTACCTGAATTTACCTGAAGGCCACTAACACTCTAGTAGCCTCGATGAGGACAGGAAAGGTCTTGTCAAAGGTCTCCCTATTTATTCTGGTGATTTTTTTCACCAGAAAATTTTAAATGTATTTTAAAGTTCATCAGTTTTGGCATTTACGGCTTCGGCGGGTAGGCGGTTCCATGGGTTTATAACCCAGTGGGTGAAAAAGCATCTCGTGTTCTCAGTCCAACAGTGTGGCTTGTTGAGTTTGAAACCGTTGTTCCTTGTTTGTGTTACATCTGGCCTTTTGAAGAATTTGTCCGGATCAACATCCTCCAAATTGTTCAGTATTTTGAACCTTTAGACGAGATCAGCCCTGTCATGTCTGGTTTTCACTGTTGTTAGCCCTGTGGCCCTCAACCGAAACTGGTATGAGAGTTCTGGAAATATTTTTGTTGTCCGGTGTTGAACTTTCTCCAGTGAAGCCATGTCTTAGTGAAGATGAGGTCTCCATGCCTGGAGGCAATAATGCAGGTGTGGGCGTACAAGAGATTTATGCAATTTAATAACTACAATTCTTTCTTTTCCTTAAAGTCAAGGGTACGCGTCATTATTCCTAGGGTTTGGATAGGGTTTTTTTTATTGCCTCTCCCACTTGTTGCACAACTTTCAGTGACTGATGGATTCTGACCCCAACGTCATTTTCTCCAACAATCTGCTGCATTTGTTTAAGTCCAAAAAGTGTAAGGTTATTCCATTCCATGCCTGGTCTGACAGTCATTTTGTATAGGAGCAGATTTCCATATGAAGGCGCTTACCTGAATCTATAGATACGGTGGAAGTCATTTTCAGCCTTTGCTGAAATGCAAGGTGGGTTTATTCTTTCGAGTCTGAGTATGGGGATGAAAGAGGTCTGTGAACCTGAAAGGAGTTACTTTGGGTTTAATAACTACAAGGATGTGGTCAGACACGACATTCCTGCTTAGGGTTACTGTAGTGCAGTGGTCCACGTCGTCGACTCGCAAGAGACGATCTCTGTTTCACTTCCTGTGGTAGAAACAGAGATGGCCGGGCACGTTTCCTTTTACCTACTGCCACTCTTTATCTAGCAGTAAATAAGTACATGAATAAGCAAATGTACAGGTTTCTCTGTACCTATGCTTACCTGTACGGAATACCCTAAGGTCTTGAAAGGGCCATAAGGCTCTTGGAATGTTAAAGTTTGCAGTGAGGTCGCCTAGTATGATTAATAGAGTCCTGCTGAGGATTCTGGGAATGAAAGGTAAACAGTTGAAAGGCGTCAGAGGTGAGAAGCCGGTGCAAGTGATCAGAGGAACGTGCCAATTTCAACCACAAAGATGTGATCATCTTCACTTAATATATTACGACACTGGTAGCCCATCTTGATGAGGACAGCTACATCATTGTGGGGGTTATTTATTTTTTCCAACTGTAGTGAAGTCCCATAGCTTCATACGCTGCTTGTGGGAGGCGATTGTCTGTGAGGGATGATGATAATAATTTGATTTGTCGAGGTCAAAGAGCCAGGGAGATGTCTTCAGGGCCTCCCCTCGACCCTGACAACCTTGCCTGGGATACAGCAGGGACCCCACAGTAATATCTATCACTCCCCAAGAAACCACCATTTTCACAATAGTGTCATAATCTTGGAAAATAACAAAGCATTTTCTTCAACAACAAATATCTTGACCTAAGAAGTGTATAACAGTGTGTATATATATGTTATGGGAGGGGAAAAGAGGCAATCTACTTGGTTTTATTTTTTGGCTTACCGATAGAGGTCTGGTGCTGAATTCTGATAGGTCAAAGCCATAGCCCGTGTCGAGGCGGAAGAAGTTGAAGAGGCTCTCAAAGAGTGCGGAGGGTTCCCGCACTATGGTGATCCAGAGTGTGTCGTTGTGGAGGACGCGGGCGTGCTCGGGGGGGTTGAGGCGCGTGTGCACGGCGAATATGTCCACTTTTCCACTATTAGGCATCAACCTTTCGGGAATCATTGAGGCCTGTAACAAATGTAACCATTATATACTAATATAACTCACATATTATTTGATACAAATTTCATGTAAACTGTAAAAAATTATGAATGGCAATTATTTTGCTTAAGTATAGGAAAAACATATTTTATAATATGAGAGAACTGTAGAATACGAAACAAATTCTGGGAATTAATATTCATATGAAAGATGAGACTTAAAATTTACAAGATGTTTGTGTTGCTTCAATGCATCAAAGTCAAATCCTTCTCAACATAATGTCGAGTGTAATGGCACTTACGAGCGGTTTCTCAATAGCTTTCCTGAGCTTATGGTTATCTTGAGATGATTTCGGGGCTTTTTAGTGTCCCCGCGGCCCGGTCCTCGACCAGGCCTCCACCCCCAGGAAGCAGCCTGTGACAGCTGGCTAACAACCAGGTACCTATTTTACTGCTAGGTAACAGGGGCATAGGGTGAAAGAAACTCTGCCCAATGTTTCTTGCCGGCGGCTGGGATCGATCCCAGGACCACAGGATCACAAATCCAGCGTGCTGTCCGCTCGGCCGACCGGTTCCCTAGTGGTAGTGACACTATAAGACCATTAGTGATATGCCGGGCTCCTGACCACCGCACCCACCGGGAACAACAACCTTTCCAAACAAACAAACAACGGCCATTTGTAAAACCATGTTGCGAATCATTTATTAATTTATGTTTTTCAAGATGAAGACGAATTGTATTTGCAATTATCGATTCAAGTAATTTTCCCACAATAGACGTTAGGCTAATTGGCCGATAGTTTGACGCAGGTGATCTATCTCCTTTCTTAAAAATTGGTACCACATTAGCAACCTTCCATGACTCTGGCACTCTGCCTGACTCTATTTATTAAATATAGTCGACAGTGGCTTGCAAAGCTCCTCTTTTCACACGTTAAGCACCCTGGCAAACACTTCATCCGGCTCTGGGGATTTGTTTGGTTTGAGTTTTACTATTTGTTTAATTACATCCTCCCTGGTAACTGCTAAACTAGTCAACCTGTCCTCGCCCCCACCCACATAGACTTGTTTGAAGCCAACCTTTTACTCTGGACCTCGGCAAGCTGAGGCAACACAGGCAAGGTGTGGGGCATTCAGGGCGGTGTTTACCCCTACTGACGAATAACTCAACCTGTGTCCTATGGCACCTGGCGAGTAACTCAACCAGTGTCCTATGACACTTTCTGGAGAGTAACTCAACCTGTGTCCTATGGCACCTGGCGAGTAACTCAACCTGTGTCCTATGGCACCTGGCGAGTAACTCAACCTGTGTCCTATGGCACCTGGCGAGTAACTCAACCAGTGTCCTATGGCACCTGGCGAGTAACTCAACCTGTGTCCTATGGCACCTGGCGAGTAACTCAATCTGTGTCCTATGGCACATGGCGAGTAACTCAACCTGTGTCCTATGGCACATGTCGTGGTCGAACCACCAGCCAGGTCGGACGTTCCTGAGGCCTCTCTGCTGGTGTTTTCATTGGACGCTTCTCGGTTGCCCTGGCGAGTGGTCGTTTGCCACTGCGGGGTGACTACTTACTCGTCTCAGTATGGGGACTTACGTGCCGCCACTGCGGAGGAAGGAGTCGGCAGGGCTGACGTTCACCTGTAAAGTGGACATTGGAGTCATCAGCAATACGCTGTTTGATGTTATGAAAGTGAAGGTGGAAGATCTTGTTGGTTTGCAGATCATTAGCGAGGACAGAGTGGTGGTGAAGTTCGCCGAGAATTGCTTGTTCAGGCAGTTTATTGAACAGTATGAGGATCGGGAGGTGCGGCTGAGCAACGGTCGAGGCTCTGTGAGGGTGGCGAATTTGAGTGTGGAGTATACGTACGTATCGATTAAAAATGCTCCAATTGAAATGTCAGAGGATCTTCTCCGTCGGGCGCTTGCCAGGTATGGGCGTGTCGACTTTATTCGTGTGTGTAGGCACACGTCTGGAGCCGTCAAAGGACTCATGAATGGTTACAGGACGGCAAAAATGGTCCTTCGTGGGAATGTGCCTTCCTCACTTTCGATTGCTGGCTATACGGTCGGCTTCTTCTACCGGGGACAAACTCGGACATGTTTCAAGTGTGGTCATGTTGGCCATGTGGCTGCTGCCTGCACCACCAGGATGGATGACCGGGTTAATCTGTTCAATGAAAATGATTTTCCTCCTTTGCACGAGCAAGAAGATCTGTCAGTTTTGAGCAGTGCCCCTTGTATGGGACCGGATGCAGTGGTGGATGGCGCAAATCTGGGTCCCAAGAGTGCTGCTTCAGTGGTATCTCCTGGTGAGGATGACGTCCGTACTGCTGTAGCGTCTCCTGAAAGGTCTAGTGGGAATGTCGATCTCCCTACAAGCCCGTGCGTGCCCGTGCAGACCAGCTCCGAAGGCGAGTGTGCTGTGGTGCCTCCCTGCTCTGGTGAGGTGGTAGATGCAGTGGTGGGCATTTCATCGGTGGATGGGTGCTCCAATGCTGAGTCGTTTGGTGTGCATCGGAACCCGCAGCAAGTAATCAGTGATGGTGTTGATATGGCTCGGTCTGCTGCTCGAACAACTGAGGTGGTGGCAGAAGTGCATATGGAGGATGTACATGCTCCTAGTCGCGGTTCTGGACGACGTGAGGCAGATTGCCTGTTGCCTGTTGGCGCTGGGCAGCACAGTATGAAGCGGCGGAAATTTGGAGGTTCTCTTCAGAATATCCTAGATGCACGGAGGAGGTTGGAAGACGGCACCCCCCCCCCCCCCCCCCCCCCTTCCCTGACGGCTGTGCGGTGTGATCCTATGGTTCCGTCCGACTCGGATATTCCGCCTTCTGGTGGGGGCGTGTCTGTGATGGATACTGGAGTCCCTAAAATTCGCGGGAGTGATCCACCACCTGGTGGTACACAGAATGTGGATTGGTGGGATATTGTGAAAGGGGTCCAGGAAGAGTCGGTAGGGGGAGATTTGGTGGTAAAGCTCCAGAAAAGTTCTCTGGGTAAGCTTGCCGAAGTGGCTCCCACTCCAGTAGTTTTGGGAGATGGGGTTGAGGGCTCTTCTGTTGGGTGCGATGCTACCCTGGGATGTAGTGGTAGTGTTGTGTGAATGTGGTTTTCTCTGTTAATTTTTTCTCAATGGATGTGTGGATGAAATGTGCGACATTGAACGTTAATGGGCTGAATTGCCGTTTGAAGCAACGTCAGCTTGTGTTGGTGGCCCGCTATCACAAGTTGGATGTTATATTTATTCAGGAGCATAATGTTAAGTGTATGGACCGACTGGAGGTGTTGTTGGATTATTTCGAGGTGTTGCGAACCCTCCTGTGTTATCAAAGGGTGGCACGATGATTTTGTTGGCAAAGAGGGCGAGCATGGGGATAGTGAGTTCGGAAATGGATGACTGTGGTAATGTGATTTTGGCGCATGTGTCGTTTATGGGTTCCGTGATTCCCTTGCTGAATGTGTATGCGCCCTCAGGAACGCATAGGCGAGCTGAGAGGGAGGAGTTGTTCTCGGATGGTTTGCTTTATTTTTTACGGAATGACACGAGAAGGATGATTTTTGGTGGTGACTTTAATTGTGTAATCTCAGTTCGGGACTGTAGCACTCGTGCTCAGGCGTCTGTCTCTCCTGCTTTAGTTAGGACGTTGCAATCTATGCACTTCCGTGATACCTGTTTCCTGGCGGGTGGTGTCCCGGCCTATACCTTTGTTAGTAGGGATTATGGCTCTCGCCTTGATCGCGTGTATGTGCACAAATCTTATGGTCAGGTCCGCTCTTGGGCCACTGTTCCGGTCTGTTTTTCGGACCATAGTATGGTGGTGGTGGGCGTTGTTGTCAATGATCAGGTGCGGTTGGGTAGGGGTTGGTGGAAGCTAAATTGTGGTTTGCTTAGATACCCGTTGGTGGTGAAGGAATTTGGTGTGATGTGGAGAGCGCTAGTGCTGCGGAAAGTTGATTTTGTGTCTATGCTAGATTGGTGGGACTGGTGTAAGGTGGAGTGCAAACGTTTCTTTGTTCGTTTCTCGAAGCGTCTTGCAGCGGAACGGTATGGTCTTTTGAATTTGTTGCAAGCTCGATTGCGTCAGCTTTATGGGCTCATGGACCAGGGTTTGGATAGGTATGATGAGATTGTATTGCTGAAGAGACGGATAAATGGGTTGCGGGAGGAAGTGGCTCAGGGTATCCATATCCGTCTATTGACATCTGAGCGTGTAGAGGGTGAGAAAGTCTCTGCCCACTTATTGGGTAAGGTTAAGTCCCCTAGGTACTCTACCGTTATGACTGGTATTCGCAGGGTAGATGGAACGGTCCTCACTAATACTGATGGGTTGGTGTGTTATGTTCGGGAAGAGTTGGAGGGTTTGTATAGGAAGGTAGAGTGTATGTCGGCGGATTGTGAGCATTTTCTTAGTTTTTGCCAGAATGTGTTGTCTGTTGAGGACAATGTGCCATTACTGAGAGAGTTTACGGATAGGGAGATTTGGGAGGTGGTTCGGGGGTTAGCGAATGGGAAGGCGCCTGGGTCTGATGGGTTGCCGGCGGAATTCTATAAGTGTTTATGGGGGGTGATTGGGTCGGACTTCTCAGAGGTGGTGCGGTATAGCCTGAGGCATGGTGTTATTAGTGGGTCACAGTCTTTTGGTATTATTCGTCTCCTGCCGAAATCTGGGGATGTGCAGCTGCTCACAAATTGGAGACCGTTGTCTCTCCTGAACCAGGATTATAAAATTCTTTCCAAGGTACTGGCGAATAGGCTTCGGTTGGTTTTGGGGAAGTGTATTTCACCGGGGCAGTTTTGTGGTGTTCCGGGTAGGTCGATTGTCTACTGCAATAATTTGATGAGGGATATGATTTATTATCTTTCGGATAATGTTGTTCCATCGGCCATGGTAAATTTAGATTGGTCCAAGGCTTTTGATAGGGTGGATATGAGTTTTGTGTTTCAGGTGATGGAGAGGGTTGGGATTGGGCCGCAGTTTGTCTCTTGGGTCAGAATGCTGTATAGGGGATGCAAGAGTAGT